TTTCTGTCTCTCTCCGGCCATTCTTCCCCTGACATGTATTTGTCTGTCTTTCTCAGGTCACTCTCTTCCTGTCATGGGCTGTCTTTCTCAGGTCACTCTTTTCCTGACAGGTATCTGTCTGTCTTTCTCAGGTCACTCTCATCCTGTGATATACCTGGATGTCTCTGGTCACTGTCTCCTTGACATGTATGCATCTGTCTAATTTCTCTCTTTCCCTGTCATGTCTCTGTGTTTCAGGTCACTGTGTTCCTGATATATATAATTTTTCTGTTTGTGTCAGGTCATTCTCTACCTACCTTGTAGCTGGCCACCAGGTTTGCACACATCTCAGGAGGAATTTTTTCCCACTCCTCTTTGCAGATCCTCTCCAAGTCAATCTCCAAGGTTTCGAGGCAGATGTTTGGCAACTCGAACCTTCAGCTCCCTCCACAGATTTTCTATGGGATTAAGGTCTGGAGACTGGCTAAGCCACTCCAGAAGCTTAATGTGCTTTTTCTGCAGCCACTCCTTTGTTGCCTTGGGTTTGTGTTTTGGGTCATTGTCATGCTGGAATACCCATCCATGACCCATTTTCAAGGAGGAGGTTTTCACCCGAGATTTCACCCAAGATTTGAAGGTACTATGGCCCTGTCCATCGTCCCTTTGATGCGGTACAGTTGTCCTGTCCCCTTAGCACAAAAACACCTCCAAAGCATAATGTTTCCACCTCCATGTTTGACAGTGGGGATGGTGTTCTTGGGTTCATAGGCAGCATTCCTCCTCTTCAAAACACGGCAAATTGAGTTGATGCCAAAGAGCTCAATTTTGGTCTCATCTGACCACAACACTTTCAGCCAGTTCTCCTCTGAATCATTTAGATGTTCATTGGCAAACTTCAGACGGGCCTGTACATGTGCTTTCTTGAGCCGGGGGACCTTGTGGGCACTGCATGATTTCAGTCCTTCACGGCGTAGTGTGTTAACTGTTTTCTTGGTAACTATGGTCCCAGCTGCCTTGAGATCATTACCAAGATCCTCCTGTGTAGTTCTGGGCTGATTCCTCACTGTTCTCATAATCACTGAAACTCCACAAAGTGAGATCTTGCATGGAGCACCAGACCGAGACTGTTGTCACCTTCTCACCATGCTGCTTGGCGATGGTCTTGTAGCCCATTCCAGAGTTGTGTATGTCTACAATCTTGTCCCTGACCTCCTTGGACAGCTCTTTGGTCTTGGCCATGGTGGAGAGTTTGGAATTGATTGATTGCTTATGTGGACAAGTGTCTTTTATACAGGTAAACTGAGATTAGGAGCACTCACTTTAAGAGAGTGCTCCTAATCTCACCTTGTTGCCTGTATAAAAGAGAGCTGGGAGCCAGAAATCTTGCTGATTGATAGGGGATCAAATACTTATTTCACTCATTGACATGCAAATCAATTTATAACTTTCTTGACATGTGTTTTTCTGGATTCTTTTTTTGTTATTCTGTCTCTCACTGCTAAAATACACCTGCCATTAAAATTATAGACTGATCATTTCTTTGTCAGTGTGCAAACGTTCAAAATCAGCAGGGGATCAAATACTTTTTTTTCCTCACTATCTCAGGTCACTGCATTACTGTGTCATGTAATCAGTGAGGAAATCAACAGGAGGAAAAGCAGAGTTCGAGCACTTTGATAATAATAATGTAGACTGGAGTGAGGGGGCTGCATAGCCATTGACTAACATACCAGGGTTGCCATGTGAGGCAAAAGCCATGTGGGGTTCACTACCCATTAATGGAAGGTAACATGTATTTAAGACTGTTAGCCTCCCCTCTTGTTACTGACCACTTCTTCATGATGATGGGCAGCACATGAAAGGTACTGTCCTTTAATATGCATAATTAATTTGTGGTGGGGAGGAAATCAGTTCATTAACCAAGGAAGAATCATTGAGCATTAGGGTATTGATATCCTTTTTGCAGCTTATGAATTCTGTATACATCCTAGTAGGATTTTTCAAGTAATGTTCATGATGGGATGCTCTAGACTTTGTGAGGCCTTAGGCGAAATGTAAACATGAGGCCTGCACTAACAACCATAGTAAAAAAATAGGGGCTGCATTGTTTGTGTATAAGGAGCTGTAGTTACATTGAATGGCAGGCTTGCAGCGCTGGATACAGAGAGCTAGTCTCTGTATTCATGGACCTTGAAGTTACTCAAATGAGAATTACTACAGTGACAACAATAATTAAAGTTACATAACATCTTTATTATAAACTTAAATACATAAAATTAAGAACAATGTTGATAACTGGACCTAGTCTGGATTTTGAAATAGATTACAGTTACCTGTGGACTCACAAAGAGTCATCCTTAAGCACAAAGGAGAGGAAAAACCCCCTGTGGAGGAAACCTCTGGGGAACCATGGCTTGAAGGATTGCCTTTCCCTCTAGGCAATAACAAGTCAATGTATTCTTTAGCTAAAGATATCTACCTCTGGGTGAAAAAAAAAGTTATCCTCTAATCAGGAAAGGGAATCTTTTGGTATCTATTGCTTGATGGCTTACCTGAGCATTAATAGGTTAATATGTAGGGAGAAAGTTTAAATGGCAAAGGGTTCTGTTATCTAGGAATGGTTCTAGCTCTTCTGTGCATGTCCTTAAGGATCTAGGGTCATGTCTTCATGGTGTCCACAAGAATTATAGGATCTTGGTTTAGAGGTTTCTTACAAAGCATCCTCCAGGTTCTCTTGTGCTTCTAGGGTGTCTTGCTCGTGATTCTAAGAGTTAAATAACCACTTTGATCATTTGATCATAGCACCGGGAACTCTGCCTCCCTCTCCCCTGTCAGCTCTGCAGGACCGGAGGGGAGATCAGAGATCTCCCTCTCCAGCCCGCTAGCACTGTAATGCTGGCAGCTCTAACCTGCAGCTCCACCGGGTTCTCCTCTCGCAAGCTCGGAGCGTTGCCGTGGTTTCCACGCCTGAGCTGCTAGAGTTCACTCTCACCACTTAGACCACCATGGTCCATGGACTGCCTTGTACTGTCCCCCCTCCCAGGTGAATGTAAGCAGGGAGGGGGGAAATCAAAATTATTATTTTTTTTATTACATTTTTTTTTATATTTATTAATCTAACCTCCAACCCCACAGAACAACAATAATTATCCTCCATACACACACACTGCCCCCTATAAACACACAGCCCTCCCATACACACAGTGGTGTATCCTGGTTTTGTGCTGCCCTAGGCAGGACAAAACTCAGGCGTCCCCCCCCCCGTGCGCCACCACCACCCAACCCTTCCCCCCCGCACCACATTCTAAATACACACACCTTTTCACTGACAGAAACACATACTCACTAACAGACTCACTCGCTAACACACACACTCACAAACAGACACACACACACTAACAGACACACACACACACACTAACAGACACACAGTCAGGCACACACACAAACAGAATAACACACTCACTCACATTAACACTCACTTTTTATTTTTTAAATTTAACCCCCCAGCCTACTTACCTTTAGGAATGCTGGGGGGGGGGTTCTCCCTCTCCCTGGGTGCTGCTGGGCGGGCTGATGGGCTGGCTGATGGGCGGGCGGTGCTGGCGAGGGAGCACTTTCCCCTGAGCTGTCTGCTCAGCTCCCTCGCGAGCCGCCCGCAGAGTGAGGCTGGGAGCCGGAATATGACGTCACGAGGGAGCTGAGCAGACAGCTCAGGGGAAAGTGCTCCCTCACTAGCGCCGCCCGCCCGCCCGCCCAGCAGCCAGCCCAGCAGCCAGCCCAGCATGTCTATTAGCCACAAGGCATTTGGGGGCGGCTTTTTTTGCCGCCCCCTGAAAAATGCCGCCCAAGGCAAATGCCTTGTTTGCCTCGCGGCTAAAACGTCCCTGCATACACACATACACACACTGTCCCCCATACACACACAGAGGCGGCTCTCTAATTAGGCAATTTAGGCAGCTGCCTAAATCACCTTAGGGCAGTGTGACATGTCGGGTCCTTGGTCAGAGACTGAGAGCCTGACACCGGAGGGGGTCCGGCAGCTTGCCCTTTATGCCGCTGGATGCGAGGCCCCTCCACACCACATGCCCGGGAGATAGCCAGCTTCCAATCTGCAGCTCTGCCGGGTGCAGTGCTGCAGACTGAGGGGTCTTGCGATATCAGCCAATCAGAGTGTTGCCGCGGGTCACCGCAGTAAAGCTCTGACTGGAGATCGCGAGACTTCCCACGTGGTCTTCAGCTCTGCACCCGGCGGAGCTGCAGACCAGATAGGGAGCCCACCAGACCACCAGGGATACAGCCTGCCCACCAGACCACCAGGGAATACGTTTATTATAAAGGTATTTATGACCCCCTGCCCTATCTCAGCGTCCTTACCACCTGTCACAGCGTCCCTACCACCCTATGCCCCAGCCCCCCTACCACTTCCTGCCCCAGCCACTCTACCACCCTCTACCAGCCCATACCCTGTCACTGCCCTCTTACCATCCTCTGCCCCCTACCACCCTCTGCCCTGCCCCATCCACCCTAGCACCCTCTACCACCCCATACCCTGTCACTGCCCTCCTACCATCCTCTGCCCCCTACCACCCTCTGTCCTGCCCCAACCACCCTACCACCCTCTACCCCCTACCCTGTCACTGCCCTCCTACCACACTCTGCCCCAGCCTCCCTTTGCCCTGTCACAGCCCTACTACTCTCTGTCCCCTATCACTCCTGCCCTGTCACAGACCCTACCAGCCCCTACCCCAGCCATCCTACCACCCTCTGCCCCTACCACCTCCTATCCTGTCACTGCCCTTCCACCACCCTCTGCCCCAGCCACCCCTACCTGCCCCAGCCACCCTACCCCCCTGCCCCAGCCCCCTACCACCCTCTGCCCCAGCCACTCTACCACCCTCTGCCCCAGCCCCCTACCACCCTCTGCCCCAGCCATCCTACCACCCTTTTCCCCAGCCACCCCACCACCCTCTGCCCCAGTCCCCTACCACCCTCTGTCCTGTCACAGCCCCCCTACCACCCTCTGCCCCAGCCTCCCTAACTATCACCCTCTGCCCCAGCCCCCCACCACTTCCTGCCCCAGCCACCCTGTGGTGCTGGTATACAAGATGGTGTATGTACTGTGTATTTGATTATATGTGTATGTGAGCCTTGGTTTAAATTAATATATGTATGTTTGTGTCTAGTGTCACGATGTGTGGATTCAGAGTAATGTAAATAAGTTTTATTTTTTTATTTTTTTAAATAGTGTAGTATTTAAGTGTGTATGTGAATCATGGCAATGTTTTTATAGGAGGAATGCAGGCATCCAAATGTTGGGTCTTGAAGTACTAACCATGTGCTAAATGTTACGAGCCACCTTAAAGGGACACTTTAGTCACCAGAACAACTTCAGATTAATGTAGTTGTTCTGGTATGTGTAGCCAGTCCTTACAGACATTTTAATGTAAACACTGCCTGTTCAGAAAAAAGGCAGTGTTTACATTGGTGCATAGGGACACCTCCAGTGGCAGTCACTCAGACGGCCACTAAAGCTGCTTCCTGGGTCAGTGATAGACAATATGCAGCACTGATGTTCAGTGTCTCTTTGCTCTGCATGGAGGCGCTGAACTTTCCCCACAGAGATGCATTGATTCAATATTTTTCTATGATGCTGATTGGCGCAACGCAGTGTTTTGCCATGTGTACCAATTAGCTTCCCAATGCTTCCTATGGGAAAGCATTGGAATGGCTGAGATGATCAATTCTGATGATCTCAGTCAATGGGCCAGAGCATGGGCTGAGCCAGCACCGGCGGACCCATGTGGCCCTGAAATAAAGGTAAGTTTATTACCTTTTTAGGAGGGGTAAGGGGATGCCGGCAACCTAAATGGTGTTTTTTACATTATAGGGTCAGGAATACACATTTATATTCCTGACCCTATAGTGTTCCTTTAAATGCATTTTTTATTTTTTTGGAATTCATTCTAGTATGTCCATGACATCAGTGTGTGTATGCAGGGACGCATTTATACTGAGGGTCTGCATGCAAGGCCACATTTGGATGTAGTTTGTTTGCATGTGTTGAAAATCTGTGTGTGTGTGAACACAGGGGCATGTAGTTGTTATAAGTGCTGTAGTGGGGAAGGGGTAATAGAGGCAATAGTGGGAGGCAGGGGGTAAAAGAAGCTATTGAGGGTGCAGGGGTTGTAGAATAAGTAGGGGGTGATAGGGTTGTAGTGGGTGATAGCGGTTGTCGTGGGTAATAGGGGTTGTAGGATGTGTAAGTGGTGATAGGGGTTGTAGTATATGCAGGGGTGATAGGAGTTGTAATTAATAATGGAGTTGTAGTATATGTAGGGGTAATAGGAGTTGTAATGGGTAATAGGGGTTGTAGTGTGTAGGGGCTGATAGGGGTTGTAGTACGTGTAGTGGGTGATAGGAGTTGTAGAGTGTGCTGGGGGTGATAGGGGTTGCAGTATGTGTAGGGGGTTATAGGGGTTGTAGTATGTAGTATGTAGAAACTATTCCAGTTTCTAAACCCACCAGGTCTCTTCTGGGTCCAACGGCAAAAAATCAATGTGCCTCAACAACCTGTGTCCTCTGCATCATACAGCAATCTGGAAATAGGGTTCGTCTAGTGAATAGGTTTTTTCCGGATCCTCCTGCAACCAGGGCCCGCGTTATTCTGGTGCTAAACTGAACAGGTGTCCTCTGGGTCCCACAGCGAAAAATCATTGTCCTGGAATACCCCTGGGGAATAGATTTTTCCCAGGTCCTCATATTCCAGGTTCTAAACTGACGTTTAAACTGACGTTCTATGCTGACGTTTACTACATTCTAAATCCTCACGCATCCAAAGGGTCCCACGGCCATTAGGTTTCCTCCAGGCAGGTGTTTTCTAGGTTCTAAACCAACCAGGTGTCCCCTGGTCCCACATCGAAAAATCCTTGTGTCTCGACAACCAGTGTTCTCTGCATCATACAACAATCAGGAAACAGGGTCCCTCGGCGAACAAGCGCCCTCTGGTTCCTTTGGCGAATAGGATTTTCTAGGGTCCTCCAGCAACCAGGCCCTCGCATTCCAGGTTCTAAACCCACCAGGTGTCCTCTGGGTCCCACGGCAAGAAATCTTTGTGACTCGACAACCAGTGCCCTCTGCATCATAAAGCAAATAGAAAATAGCATCCCTTGGCGAACAAGCATCCTCAGGTTCCTCTGGCGAATAGGATTTTCTAGGGTGCTCCAGCAACCAGGCCCTCGTATTCCAGGTTCTAAACCGACCAGGTGTCCTTTGGGTCCCACGGCGAAAAATCATTGTGCCTCGACAACCAGTGCCCTCTGCATCATACAGCAATCAGGAAATAGCATCCCTTGGCGAACAAGCATCCTCAGGTTCCTCTGGCGAATAGGATTTTCTAGGGTCCTCCAGCAACCAGGCCCTCGTATTTCAGGTTCTAAACCGACCAGGTGTCCTCCGGATCCCACGGCGAAAAATCATTGTGCCTCGATAACCAGTGCCCTCTGCATCATACAGCAATCAGGAAACAGGGTCCCTCGGCGAACAAGCGCCCTCTGGTTCCTCTGGCGAATAGGATTTTCTAGGGTCCTCCAGCAACCAGGCCCTCGTATTCAAGGTTCTAAACCGACCAGGTGTCCTCTGGGTCCCACGGCGAAAAATCTTTGTGTCTCGACAACCAGTGTCCTCTGCATCATACAGCAATCAGGAAACAGGGTCCCTCGGCGAACAAGCGTCCTCTGGTGAATAGGATTTTCTAGGGTCCTCCAGCAACCAGGCCCTCATATTCCAGGTTCTAAACCGACCAGGTGTCCTCTGGGTCCCACGGTGAAAAATCTTTGTGTCTCGACAACCAGTGTACTCTGCGTCATACAGCAATCAGGAAACAGGGTCCCTCGGCAAACAAGCATCCTTGGGTTCCTCTGGTGCAAAGGCTTTTCCCGGGTCCTCCAGCAACCAGGCCCTCGTATTCCAGGTTCTAAACCGACCAGGTGTCCTCTGGGTCCCACGGTGAAAAATCTTTGTGTCTCGACAACCAGTGTACTCTGCGTCATACAGCAATCAGGAAACAGGGTCCCTCGGCGAACAAGCATCCTTGGGTTCCTCTGGTGCAAAGGCTTTTCCCGGGTCCTCCAGCAACCAGGCCCTCGTATTCCAGGTTCTAAACCGACCAGGTGTCCTCTGGGTCCCACGGCGAAAAATCTTTGTGACTCGACAACCAGTGCCCTCTGCATCATACAGCAATCAGAAAATAGCATCCCTTGGCGAACAAGCATCCTCAGGTTCCTCTGGCGAATAGGATTTTCTAGGGTCCTCCAGCAACCAGGCCCTCGTATTCCAGGTTCTAAACCGACCAGGTGTCCTTTGGGTCCCACAGCGAAAAATCATTGTGCCTCGACAACCAGTGCCCTCTGCATCATACAGCAATCAGGAAATAGCATCCCTTGGCGAACAAGCATCCTCAGGTTCCTCTGGCGAATAGGATTTTCTAGGGTCCTCCAGCAACCAGGCCCTCGTATTCCAGGTTTTAAACCAGAGGGCACTGGTTCCCACGGCAAAAAATCATTGTGCCTCGACAACCAGTGCCCTCTGCATCATACAGCAATCAGGAAACAGGGTCCCTCGGCGAACAAGCGCCCTCTGGTTCCTCTGGCGAATAGGATTTTCTAGGGTCCTCCAGCAACCAGGCCCTCGTATTCCAGGTTCTAAACCGACCAGGTGTCCTCTGGGTCCCACGGCGAAAAATCTTTGTGTCTCGACAACCAGTGTCCTCTGCATCATACAGCAATCAGGAAACAGGGTCCCTCGGCGAAAAAGCATCCTCAAGTTCCTCTGGCGAATAAGCTTTTCTAGGGTCCTCCAGCAACCAGGCCCTCGTATTCCAGGTTCTAAAACTGACCAGGTGTCCTCTGGGTCCCACGGCGAAAAATCTTTGTGACTCGACAACCAGTGCCCTCTGCATCATACAGCAAATAGAAAATAGCATCACTTGGCGAACAAGCATCCTCAGGTTCCTCTGGCGAATAGGATTTTCTAGGGTCCTCCAACAACCAGGCCCTCGTATTCCAGGTTCTAAACCGACCAGGTGTCCTCTGGGTCCCACGGCGAAAAATCTTTGTGTCTCGACAACCAGTGTCCTCTGCATCATACAGCAATCAGGAAACAGGGTCCCTCGGCGAACAAGCATCCTCAAGTTCCTCTGGCGAATAGGCTTTTCTAGGGTCCTCCAGCAACCAGGCCCTCGTATTCCAGGTTCTAAACCGACCAGGTGTCCTATGGGTCCCACGGTGAAAAATCTTTGTGTCTCGACAACCAGTGTACTCTGCGTCATACAGCAATCAGGAAACAGGGTCCCTCGGCGAACAAGCATCCTTGGGTTCCTCTGGTGCAAAGGCTTTTCCTGGGTCCTCCAGCAACCAGGCCCTCGTATTCCAGGTTCTAAACTGACCAGGTATCCTCTGGGTCCCACGGCGAAAAAACTTTGTGACTCGACAACCAGTGCCCTTTGCATCATACAGCAATCAGAAAATAGCATCCCTTGGCGAACAAGCATCCTCAGGTTCCTCTGGCGAATAGGATTTTCTAGGGTCCTCCAGCAACCAGGCCCTCGTATTCCAGGTTCTAAACCGACCAGGTGTCCTTTGGGTCCCACGGCGAAAAATCTTTGTGACTCGACAACCAGTGCCCTCTGCAACATACAGCAATCAGAAAATAGCATCCCTTGGCGAACAAGCATCCTCAGGTTCCTCTGGCGAATAGGATTTTCTAGGGTCCTCCAGCAACCAGGCCCTCGTATTCCAGGTTCTAAACCAGAAGGCACTGGTTCTCACGGCGAAAAATCATTGTGCCTCGACAACCAGTGCCCTCTGCATCATACAGCAATCAGGAAACAGGGTCCCTCGGCGAACAAGCGCCCTCTGGTTCCTCTGGCGAATAGCATTTTCTAGGGTCCTCCAGCAACCAGGCCCTCGTATTCCAGGTTCTAAACCGACCAGGTGTCCTCTGGGTCCCACGGCGAAAAATCTTTGTGTCTCGACAACCAGTGTCCTCTGCATCATACAGCAATCAGGAAACAGGGTCCCTCGGCGAACAAGCATCCTCAAGTTCCTCTGGCGAATAGGCTTTTCTAGGGTCCTCCAGCAACCAGGCCCTCGTATTCCAGGTTCTAAACCGACCAGGTGTCCTCTGGGTCCCACGGCAAAAAATCTTTGTGACTCGACAACCAGTGCCCTCTGCATCATACAGCAAATAGAAAATAGCATCCCTTGGCGAACAAGCATCCTCAGGTTCCTCTGGCGAATAGGATTTTCTAGGGTCCTCCAGCAACCAGGCCCTCGTATTCCAGGTTCTAAACCGACCAGGTGTCCTTTGGGTCCCACAGCGAAAAATCATTGTGCCTCGACAACCAGTGCCCTCTGCATCATACAGCAATCAGGAAATAGCATCCCTTGGCGAACAAGCATCCTCAGGTTCCTCTGGCGAATAGGATTTTCTAGGGTCCTCCAGCAACCAGGCCCTCGTATTCCATGTTCTAAACCGACCAGGTGTCCTCTGGATCCCACGGCGAAAAATCATTGTGCCTCGATAACCAGTGCCCTTTGCATCATACAGCAATCAGGAAACAGGGTCCCTCGGCGAACAAGCGCCCTCTGGTTCCTCTGGCGAATAGGATTTTCTAGGGTCCTCCAGCAACCAGGCCCTCGTATTCCAGGTTCTAAACCGACCAGGTGTCCTCTGGGTCCCACGACGAAAAATCTTTCTGCCTCGACAACTAGTGTCCTCTGCATCATATAGCAATCAGGAAACAGGGTCCCTCGGCGAACAAGCGTCCTCTGGTGAATAGGATTTTCTAGGGTCCTCCAGCAACCAGGCCCTCGTATTCCAGGTTCTAAACCGACCAGGTGTCCTCTGGGTCCCACGGTGAAAAATCTTTGTGTCTCGACAACCAGTGTACTCTGCGTCATACAGCAATCAGGAAACAGGGTCCCTCGGCGAACAAGCATCCTTGGGTTCCTCTGGTGCAAAGGCTTTTCCCGGGTCCTCTAGCAACCAGGCCCTCGTATTCCAGGTTCTAAACCGACCAGGTGTCCTCTGGGTCCCACGGTGAAAAATCTTTGTGCCTCGACAACCAGTGTACTCTGCGTCATACAGCAATCAGGAAACAGGGTCCCTCGGCGAACAAGCATCCTTGGGTTCCTCTGGTGCAAAGGCTTTTCCCGGGTCCTCCAGCAACCAGGCCCTCGTATTCCAGGTTCTAAACTGACCAGGTGTCCTCTGGGTCCCACGGCGAAAAATCTTTGTGACTCGACAACCAGTGCCCTCTGCATCATACACCAATCAGAAAATAGCATCCCTTGGCGAACAAGCATCCTCAGGTTCCTCTGGCGAATAGGATTTTCTAGGGTCCTCCAGCAACCAGGCCCTCGTATTCCAGGTTCTAAACCGACCAGGTGTCCTTTGGGTCCCACGGCGAAAAATCATTGTGCCTCGACAACCAGTGCCCTCTGCATCATACAGCAATCAGGAAACAGGGTCCCTCGGCGAACAAGCGCCCTCTGCTTCCTCTGGCGAATAGGATTTTCTAGGGTCCTCCAGCAACCAGGTCCTCGTATTCCAGGTTCTAAACCGACCAGGTGTCCTCTGGGTCCCATGGCGAAAAATCTTTGTGTCTCGACAACCAGTGTCCTCTGCATTATACAGCAATCAGGAAACAGGGTCCCTCGGCGAACAAGCATCCTCAAGTTCCTCTGGCGAATAGGCTTTTCTAGGGTCCTCCAGCAACCAGGCCCTCGTATTCCAGGTTCTAAACCGACCAGGTGTCCTTTGGGTCCCACGGCGAAAAATCTTTGTGACTCGACAACCAGTGCCCTCTGCATCATACAGCAAATAGAAAATAGCATCCCTTGGCGAACAAGCATCCTCAGGTTCCTCTGGCGAATAGGATTTTCTAGGGTCCTCCAGCAACCAGGCCCTCATATTCCAGGTTCTAAACCGACCAGGTGTCCTTTGGGTCCCACGGCGAAAAATCATTGTGCCTCGATAACCAGTGCCCTCTGCATCATACAGCAATCAGGAAACAGGGTCCCTCGGCGAACAAGCGCCCTCTGGTGAATAGGATTTTCTAGGGTCCTCCAGCAACCAGGCCCTCGTATTCCAGGTTCTAAACCGACCAGGTGTCCTCTGGGTCCCACGGCGAAAAATCTTTGTGACTCGACAACCAGTGCCCTCTGCATCATACAGCAAATAGAAAATAGCATCCCTTGGCGAACAAGCATCCTCAGGTTCCTCTGGCGAATAGGATTTTCTAGGGTCCTCCAGCAACCAGGCCCTCGTATTCCAGGTTCTAAACCGACCAGGTGTCCTCTGGGTCCCACGGCGAAAAATCATTGTGCCTCGATAACCAGTGTCCTCTGCATCATACAGCAATCAGGAAACAGGGTCCCTCGGCGAACAAGCGTCCTCTGGTGAATAGGATTTTCTAGGGTCCTCCAGCAACCAGGCCCTCGTATTCCAGGTTCTAAACCGACCAGGTGTCCTATGGGTCCCACGGTGAAAAATCTTTGTGTCTCGACAACCAGTGTACTCTGCGTCATACAGCAATCAGGAAACAGGGTCCCTCGGCGAACAAGCATCCTTGGGTTCCTCTGGTGCAAAGGCTTTTCCCGGGTCCTCCAGCAACCAGGCCCTCGTATTCCAGGTTCTAAACCAACCAGGTGTCCTTTGGGTCCCACGACGAAAAATCATTGTGCCTCGACAACCAGTGTACTCTGTGTCATACAGCAATCAGGAAACAGGGTCCCTCGGCGAACAAGCATCCTTGTGTTCCTCTGGTGCAAAGACTTTTCCCGGGTCCTCCAGCAACCAGGCCCTCGTATTCCAGGTTCTAAACCGACCAGGTGTCCTTTGGGTCCCACGGCGAAAAATCATTGTGCCTCGACAACCAGTGCCCTCTGCATCATACAGCAATCAGGAAATAGCATCCCTCGGCGAACAAGCATCCTCAAGTTCCTCTGGCGAATAGGCTTTTCTAGGGTCCTCCAGCAACCAGGCCCTCGTATTCCAGGTTCTAAACCGACCAGGTGTCCTCTGGGTCCCACGGCGAAAAATCTTTGTGTCTCGACAACCAGTGTACTCTGCATCATACAGCAATCAGGAAACAGGGTACCTCGGCAAACAAGCGTCCTCTGTTGAACAGGATTTTCTTGGGTCCTCCAGCAACCTACCTACAGCAATCAGGAAATAGCATCCCTCGGCGAACAAGCATCCTCAAGTTCCTCTGGCGAATAGGCTTTTCTAGGGTCCTCCAGCAACCAGGCCCTCGTATTCCAGGTTCTAAACCGACCAGGTGTCCTCTGGGTCCCACGACGAAAAATCTTTCTGCCTCGACAACTAGTGTCCTCTGCATCATATAGCAATCAGGAAACATGTCCCTCGGCGAACAAGCGTCCTTAGGTTCCTCTGGTGAATAGGCTTTTCCCGGGTCCTCCAGCAACCAGGCCCTCGTATTCCAGATTCTAAACCAACCAAGTGTCCTCTGGGTCCCATGGGAAAAATCATTGTACCTCAACAACCAGTGTACTTTGCATCATACAGCAATCAGGAAAAAGGGTTCCTCGGCGAACAAGCGTCCTTGGGTTCCCCTGGGAAATAGTTATTTTCCGGGTACTCCAGCGACCAGGGCCCTCGTATTCCAGGTTCTAAACCAACCAGGTGTCCTCTGGGTCCCACGTTGAAAAATCATTGTGCCTCGACAACCAGTGTCCGCTGCATGATACCGCAATCAGGAAATAGGGTTCCTTGGCAAACAAGTGTCCTCAGATACCCCGGGGGAATAGATTTTTCTTGGGTCGTCCGGCGACCAGGGCCCTCATATTCCAGGTTCTAAACTAATAAGATGTCCTTTGGGTCCCATAGCAAAAATCATTGTGCCTGAACAACCAATGTACTCTGCATTATACAGCAATCAGGAAATAGGGTTCCTCAGCGAACAAGTGTTCTCGGATACCCCTGGGGAATAGATTTTTCCCGGGTACTCCAGTGACCAGGGCCTTCATATTCCAGGTTCTAAACTGACAAGATGTCCTTTGGGTCCCACAGCAAAAATTCATTGTGCACAGACAACCAGTGTACTCTGATTCATACAGCAATCAGGAAATAGGGTTCCTCGGCGAACAAGCGTCCTAGGGTTCCCCTTGGAAATGGTTATTTGCAGGTACTCTGGTGACCAGGGCACTCGTATTCCAGGTTCTAAACCGACCAGTTGTCCTCTGAGTCCCATGGCGAAAAATCATTGTGCCTCGACAACCAGTGTCTTCTGCATCATACAGCAATCAGGAAATAAGGTCCCTCGGCTAAGAAGCGTCCTCATGTTGCCGTGGTGAATAGGTATTTTCCAGGTCCTTTGGTGACCAGGGCCCTCATATTCCAGGTTCGTAACTGACAAAATGTCCTTTGGGTCCCACGGCAAAAAATCATTGTGCCTTAACAACCAGTGTCCTCTGAATCATACTGGAATCAGGACACTGGGCCCCTAGGCAAACAAGCGTCCTCGGGTTCCTCTGACAATTAATTTTTTTCCGCGTCCTTCGGCAACCAGGGCCCTCGTATTCCAGGTTCTAAACTGACAAGATGTCCTTTGGGTCCCACGGCAAAAAATCATTGTGCCTTAACAACCAGTGTCCTCTGAATCATACTGAAATCAGGAAATAGGGTCCCTCGGCGAACAAGCTTTCTCAGGTTCCTCTAGCGAATAGGTTATTTCCGGGTCCTTGGCGACAAAGACCCTCGTATTCCAGGTTCTAAACCGGCCAAGTGTCTTCTGGGTCCCGCGGCAAAAGATCATTGTGCCTCGACAACCAGTGTCCTCTGCATCATACTGTAATCAGGAAATAGGGTCCCTCGGCGAGCAAGCTTTCTCAGGTCGCTCTGGCGAATAGGTTTTTTCCGGCTCCTTGGCGACAAAGGCCCTCGTATTCCAGGTTCGAAACCGACCAGGTGTCTTCTGGGTCCCACGGCTAAAATCATTGTGCCTTGACAACCCTTGTCCTCTGCATCATACAGCAATCAGGAAATAGGGTCCCTGTGTGAACAAGCGTCCTCGGGTTCCCCTGGCAAATGTTTAATGTTTCATTAATTATGTTTTAAGTTCTAAGCAACCTATATTTAACTATGCATTCTATATTTAATAAATTATGCAGAAATATCGATATGTATTTTACATACTCTCTTTGATATTCTGTTATGTTTTACAATGACATGCATTTGTTAATCAGTGATATTGGCATTGCACTACAAAAAACTGAAGAAAATAAAAACACACTGTGAACCACTTAAAGTAATAAGTGGGCCATATAAATAGGAAGCAACTTTGTAAAACCCCAAGTAGGACAGAATACTTAAATTAACAATATATAACAATGTATTAGCAAAACCAATTAAAATAACAGTGCAAATAGTTATTACAAGGTTAAATAAATAACCTTCCTAATATGATACAATCCCAAGTTTAAATAGTGAATAAAGTATAAAAATCACAAAAAGATAACAATAATAATAATAATAAACCTCCACAGCCACAATCATATAATATATCTACACTTCGCTCACAAGTTAATAGATGTCAGCTTGTCTAAATAGAACAGTTGGCAAAAGCAGTAAACCTGTTCTAATAATTAGAAAATTGAAATAAACCATCAATGACACAATACCGCAGTTAAGGTAAATTGCAACATTCAGACTGAATGAAATGTGACTCAAAATTATATTTTATAACTAACAAAACTACTTATTTTCTTAGGACCACTAATTCATCAAAATGCAAACATACTTTCATAATTAATCTAATCATTATTTTAAATTAATTTCAGAAGGGTAAGATCTATCGAGTTAAAATAATTCATAAAAATAAATCATAAATGCTACACCTAAGTCATTAGGTGTAAGAACTAAATTCTAAACAATAAGTACAAGGCAATATAATAGTATTACAGTGAGACACACAATAAAATACAATAAAAAAGTCCTCGAAACACCTTAGTGAGTGTCCCTTCCACCTCACAACAAATACAAATACATACAATATAAGGTGGAGTCTCTTCTTATTATAACAGGTTGTCAATAATTCTAAAAGGAAAAAAAAAATAGAACACATGATAGAGCAATATTGTCTATAAAATATAGAGAGTATGGTGAGATAAGAGGAATATCACTCACAAATACAGAGCCACTAGATAGGGCTCAATTTTCCAGTGTTGTGGGATATAAGGATCCCACTGCCTTCTTTATATAGCTGTTGGCCAAGTATGCCTCTTTAAAGACTCTACCCATCATTCACATTCAATTTTGTAAGGTCTTGTAATTTTTTTATTTTTTTATTTATTCTTTATTTTTTCGTGCATTCAATAAACAAGTGTGTTTGTGCTGCCCCAACAGCTAGTACAAACTGGGCATCAAATATAGTATGACATTTATGTGGGCATTTAAGTGAGTACAGTGCACATTTTATGAATAAAAGTAGGCTGTGTTAGTCTAAGGTCACCGATTGAAGAAAAAGTAATAATGAAAAAATAAAAAAATAAGTGGGGGGTTGGAGGGATCTTGTAATTTTATATATATATTTTTAATCTTTTTTTTTTTTATCTCTTTAAAGACTCTACCCATCATTCACCTTCAATTTTGTAAGGTCTTGTAATTTTAATAATTAATAATTTTATATATATTTTTTTATCTTTGTTTTACTTATTGTGCACTTTATAATAAAGCACTTTGGAACCATATACCTGTCCCTGAGAGGCATACTTGGTTACCAGCTATATAAAGAAGGCAGTGGGAACCTTATATCCCACAACACTGGAAAATTGAGCCCTATCTAGAGGCTCTATATTTGTGAGTGATATTCCTCTTATCTCACCATACTCTCTATATTTTATAGACAATATTGCACTATCATGTGTTCTATTTTTTTTTTTGCTTTTAGAATTATTGACAACCTATTATAATAAGAAGAGACTCCACCTTATAATGTATTAAATTCTAAACAATATTTTAAAATGATATTTATCTCACAAAGTGAGGAACATCAAATTCACAATGTAGACCAAATGAGAGATCCATTTAAGCTTGTGGATATTGTAAATTGCCACCCCTTGGGAAAAGAACAACATCCTGAATGCTTTGGAACCTATAATTAGGTTAAATTACCCCCAAGAAATAAAACTTTCTCTTTACATCTGCTTGAATATTGAATACCCGTAAGATGTCCTTGGATTCTTAATTTAAGGGATAATTTCATCTTGACAACATATTGTATTTTACACTTCATACAGGTGAGGAGATAGCTCACATGCATATTTCCTCCCTGTAACAGTAGAACAAAAATGTTTTGATTGGGGAGGAGACAAACTCCTGAAGCGAATGGTCGCAGATCTCTGGAGCTCCTGATATCTGGGGCTTACAATAGTATTTTCCCAAGGCCACTGCTATCCAAAAAGCGGAGAGCAACGGACAGAAGATCCGTGGCATCACGGAAGAGGTGCCGAAAGCCGAATTGCTGCACCTCATACGCAGGCTGCTGACGGCGCTCCTCCCGACAAGACAGGCTAAAATAATAGGCCTGGTTGGTTTCTTCCGGGCCCCAAAGCCAGCCAGAGCTCCACCAACAGTTTCCCGGGACCTCATAATAAGGTTTCAGCAAAACAAAGATAAGGCAGCGGTACTAGCTGCAGTCAGAGACTGCACCCCACACCCATTTGAATCAATGACTCTCTCCTTCTACATGGACCTCTCGGGAGGCACCTTGGCATGGCTACGGTCCCTTCAGCCAATCACCTTGCTCCTCAGACAACATGCGATTCAATACCGTTGGCGCCCAACACAACCCCTGCTAATCCTAAAGGGGGAAGATAAGCATGAGATATTCAACCTACAAGGTGCACAGGACGTACTGGCCACTTTGGGACTACCACAACAACCCCCATGACCCCCTGGGCCACAAGGCATCGGGAGACCAACACAGAGCTGGGACCTTGAGAGAGTGACGACATTTGTTCCGCGACAACCCAAGCGGGGTCCCCACGCAGCAACTGCCACCTGAGATCGTCATGAAGCTCTGGAGCTCCAATACTATACTGACAGCTGTTTTCCTTTCTTCCCAGTTGATAACTGTTCCTGTTTATTGATGTCCCTCAAGACATATAGCTCGAATGCAAAAGCATAAACACATACACATATACATGGCTTAACTCATCCCCCTGGGCCACGACCGTTCGGTTCAAACCCCACAAACGCAACGCACCGCCTTACCACATTCCTCCCCCCCTCCCCCTGCCTGATTTCAGTTTAAACTGAACGCCATACTTAACGACGGTGAGGCCAGGTGGTAAACACTTAATCTAGAGGTACAATTCCATTCACTAAGCGTCTGCTACACTTATCTTAACATGGTCAATAGATAAGCCTATACACTGTCTTATTCACACGAGCTGACCTACACCACTCTACTGTTTAATCGTATTAAATTTTTTTTTAAAAATTTGCACAGTTCCTTAATGCCAATTGTATTTATATGTAAGCGGAAACCCTGGCATTAGCTGTTGTGGCATTGCTGGCGTACATGTAACCTGTACAATCCATGCATGACAAAATAAAGAATTCAAAAAATAAAATAAAATACTTTGATCTCCATATAACTACATGACACACATGGCCTACTTTCAAACCTTTAAAGACCCTTAGTAGCAAGCCATGTGACCATTTCATTTGTTTCACTCCTAAATAAGCTAGGGGACAACAGAGATCCCACAGTCTTAGGTCTTCTAGCTACAAATCTGTATCCATTCGAGTTCTTACAAACTAGATCTTCCAATCTAGCATCATTCAACAATAGGTAAAAGTCTCAAGATAATCTGTTTTTATATAATTACATCACGTAAACTGATCATCAAAATCATTTTGTCTTTGTGATATACTCAAATCTGTCGAAAAAGGTGGCTGTCCCTATCCGTATTCACAGCCCTAGACCACATGCCGCCATGCAGTGGAGGGTGTTAATGTCCCTTCATAGCATGAAATGTCATGCAGTAAAGGTTCCAGCAGGGGTTAAATATATATATATATATATATTTCGATACCTGATATTCTCCTCAGTCAATGGGGCCACAGTTAGTGGGCCCAGACTGACAGCTGAACTATGTGCAGCACTCAAGGTGCATATATACATATATATATATTTTTTAATATATATATTATATTATTATTATTATTATATTTTTTATTTTATTTTTTAAAATTCTTTATTTTTGGTGCAGAAGATTTTACATGCATGTCTGTGTAGCCACGACAGCAAACACAGGCAGGTCAATGCAGACATGTTCGTGGCATGATACATTTGCACATTTTTGTTAAACATGAAATGAACAGGTTAGTATACATTGCTTATGTGAGGTAACATGTTAAACTTATTAAGCATATTAATAGTTAAATTTAAGGTTGGTAAGTCGCTGTGTCTATTTGGTATAATTCTAACAGGTTCGGGACCTGAGCTAACATACTAGATTTAACTAACAAGATACACTCTTAAGATAAGGGTGAGAAAAGCTATCACATGAGGTTCATGTATCATGACATGGCGCATGGTTTTGCGATTTTCATGGTTAATAAACCTGTTCTGGTAGGATTTATCAGTAATTATAAATAAAAGAAAAGAAAAGAAAAAGAAAGAGACCCTGGGTAGCAGTCAGAGCTGTAGATATGGACCGATAGCTTAGTCGGGACAATAACACAATCCCAGATAACCAGCTAAATGTTCAAACAGTGTCATGGCTTAGTTTTCTTGTATCGATGTTTAGAAAATACAGTTAAATACATACTGGTTGGTTATGGCTACGGTAGTTTGATTTAAAGCAGTACTTAGTCTTGCGGGGCTGTCTATGCTAAAAGTTTAGCTGTTGGGCTACGCTTTTCCATTAATATAGTAATTGAGTCCATCTTTATAACTGCCTTTTTATATGTTAGTAATGGAGAACATGCTAGTTTCATTTACTTGTGGTATGACTAATAAGACAAAAGAAATTATAGTAAATAGAGACAACAAATAACGAGGGAAAAACCATATGGTCCGAGTGTTCCCGGCGTGTGCTGGGGTCAAATAATAAGCATCTATAAGCTCAAAGTACCAAGAATGTAATTACAAAATATTGATGCACTGGTACATGACTCTGGACATCCTCCGACACGTACACGAGTCAATTCCCAGCGAATGTTGGAGATGCGGGATGGATGTGGGTATGGGTCAGCATATCTGGTGGACATGCCCCCTTATAATCCCATGCTGGCAGATGATTAATCGCATGATCAGAGAAATCACTGATTACAGACGTCCCGCTACAGCCCCTGACGATGCTGTTAAACCACACACACATACCACTGAAGTCATATAAAAAGGGTCTCACCATACACCTGCTCACAGCGGCAAAAACCCTTATCTCCACACATTGGAAAAACACAGCAGTGCCCACCTTCCAGCAATGGGTAACTAGGGTGGAAGATATTTACAGTATGGCTGCCTCCCTGCAGGGACATTCGGGCAAATGTGCTCTGACATGCTACCCATGGATGGACTTCATGGCCAAGAGGGCTGCGCAGGCTCGCCCGCAAGGGTGGGGGGCTCCAACCTGCCCGAGTACTTACGGCCCCACCCGTCTAACGCCACCCCACGTCAATTACCCACCCGCTGCTTCCCCTTTAGTCTCCAGCAATCCTCCCCCCTTCCCACCTGATCATTGACACACCACCGTCACATAACAATTTCCTTCACGGCAGACGACTGCTCCCACTCCTAACCAGACCAGAATAGACACACAGAAGCCCTGGGAGGTAGACCGAAGGGGCACTGCACCCACGGATCCCATATGGTATGGCAGCCACGAGACAGCCATAGGCTGGACTACCACACGGACACCTGCTCATAGGGACGGTGGCAAAGGTGGACTCTCAGCTCCTACCCAGTGGTTCTCTAGAGGGGGCTTGTGACTGAAAGACAAATCCAGCTTGAATGCTATACTCCTATTCCTGCTCTGTGCTGAGGATCCCCGACCAGGGCAAGACATACGTACTGTACTACACCACACGATACCCCCTAAATAAATATAAGCCCTGGGGAGACATTGAGGGGTTCTGCAGTAACGCTGGGAGTAACAACACCCACTGATGCTTTACATTAGAGATCTATGATTTCAACCCAAACATGGCTGCCCTAACTGCAACACCTCTGCTCTTGATGCATACTACAAAACTGCCCGGAGTAACAGTAGAAGCCCCAGTAGCCTCAGGCCACCTCACGCTATACCCTGACCTATAAGGCTAAGTCACAAATATTTCTTTACCTGAACATGGTAGCCCATCTCAACTCCCCTGTTCACGAGACAAATTAAGCTCACACTGGCGAACTCCCCATAACCCTCCACACCAAGTAATGTTGTTGAAGCCATTTTTGTTTCTACTTGTGTTATTGTTCAAAACCAGATAACTGGGCAATATATAGAAAAATCAACATAGTATTGTATACTGGTTCTGCAGTTGTCACTTGCTTACATGTCGAAGCACTGTTATTGCTAACGTGTACTGTACTGAACCTCCCCTTAATAAAAAACATTTTGATTGTAAAAAAAAAATAAAAAAAAAATAAAAAGAATAGCATTCACTGAGGGCTTAGTAGGTAATTTTTGACAGTAATAGATAAATATATATATATATATATATATATATATATATATATATATATATATATATATATAATGAGAGCACTTAGTGGATTTTGCAGATCCATTAAATGCTCAAATTTTTTCTGTTTTCTGTATTACCGTACGCAGTGCAGCACCGTGGTTAAATGGATTCTTACTACATTAAGGTAGAGTGCCAGATTCCGATTATTTTTGAGATATATATATATATATATATATAGCCAGAGAAACCTAGGGAGGACAATAGAATGGAAATAAAAAGGCAGACATCTCTGAGAGACATCACTGTGCTGCTTGTTTTAATAACGCATAATGCACATTGTACAATGTGGGCTAAGCTGCCCAAAGTGTCTTTTACATTTTTTTTTGTTTTTATCGAGAAAGAGTGCAGGGCATATACAAAAGAAATGCAAACAGAACATTGTACACATTATAACCGTATAGCAAATAAATCAGGGGTCAAGTCCTGGGGGGAAAAGTGTGGTAACTCACCCATGATCCACCCCAAATAAAATACGCTTGTATGCATGTATATTTCTCAGAAAATACAGTGCAACATTTATTGTAAAGTGCCAGTTTACAAAGACATCTCCAAAAATGTACATGCAATAAAAACAGACCTCTCTAAATGTGCAAAAGAATTAGAAGTACCAATTCAAAGTTACCTACATAATAAAAGATAACTCCAAATATAAAAAATAAGGGGTTAATAATTTTAGTAAGGCAGGTATGGTTGGATGACTAGAATAATAAGTCCAGGGCCTTCAAAATGAATGAGTTTCATCTTTACAGTTAACACAACAGAAGCTATGGGTACCCACTCACCCAACACCACTGACCAAACTCCAGACCACATTATATGGCACAGTAGACATCTTGTTCTCAATGATCAGGAGCCTTAGCTCATTCAGAACAAGGGTTATGTCTTGCTATTAGAGCAAAAGTGATTTAGAACACACTTCACTGCTACATTTCCTGCAATGTGGTAATTTAACTGAAAAATTATAATTTTCATACTTAATAAACAACACAAGATAAAAGTACAAAAAAATTCAGTTTATTTCAACCATTCAAACAAAAGTACACAATGAAAATGGAGTTTAGCTGGGTGGGTTGGCTAAACTCTTAGAATGGAAAACAAAAGTTAACTCTTTCAGTGTCATCAGTGAGCCTGATTCACCGCATACCATACCACACAAAAGGTTAAACATGAATGTGGGGCACAAACCTACTCAGACAAAGATCAGAACAAGGATATAACCACTAAACTGTGAATTGTCGGGAATTAGAAAGTGAATTTTGGCCAAAAAGCCAGTCTAAAAACAGAACTAACTTGGAGAGTTTTTCAGGTTTTTTTTGGCCTATAACCTGAAATAAATGCACTGTTGATTCCTTTGAATTGAAGACAATTTGCACTTTATTGAATAACCCTGACCATAAGAAGAATCAGAATAATATCATTTATTTCCTAACTTGTGAATTACGGAAATTGGATAAAATAGCTCCGAAAATTAAAATGAGTTATTCATCTCTGCCTGATTTCGTTTTTCCAAGTTCTCTCTCTAATCAACAAGCCCAATCCCTGACTGTGGTGAATAAAAGGCAGCATGTTTCTGTGTTATAGAGGCAGGCAGCCCGTATTTACTCAGCTGGGCACTCAATGCCACCCACACACTGCCCGCTGCAACCTTGTGTGCCTCCAAGCCCCTGCCACCCTCTCCCCCAGCAGCCATGTTTGCTTCCCTCCTACACACACAGCGCTGGGAGACCTGCAGCTTGCATCACCAAGTGGCCACTCTCCCAAGTGTGAGTGCCCACTCCCCCATCACTCTGGTATTGCCGGCTTTTTATCCCCACGCAGCTGCGAGCACGGCTCACGTCAGTCTTCGGGTTCGATAAGTCAGTTGTCGGACCCCCCCGGACTCCAGCTGGGCCGAGGAGGATTCTCACGTTCTGTGCAGATGCCCCGACATGACTGCTTCCGGATAACATGCGCACCGGGGGAACACTGAGGGAGACATGGCGCGCATGTGCAAGAGAGTGAGGGAGAGAGACATGTCCCGGCCTCTCCTCTCCCCCCTTTTTTTTCACGCTGACGTCACCAATAGTGCTGCTTTGATGTGAGGGAAGAGGGGGAGGAGAGTGAAAAGAGAGCGGGTTAACTCGTGACTGAGGGCTACAAGCAAAGGGCAGGTCCTGCAGGACTACTAACGGGAACGTCATTCCTGCTGTGGAAAAAATTCAGGAACACTGTTCCCACGCGTTACTACAGGACTCGAGCACTGATATAAATACATCAATGAATAATATTTATATTACAGTAATGAACATTTAAAAAGTTAGAATATTGTATATATGATCAATTAATCGTGAAGAAAGTACAATGTGACATGCCAGCATGAGTAACTCTCTTTTTATTATTATTATTATTATTGTTGTTAAATATGAAACCTACCATTATATTAGTAGCATGTTTGCAAATAAAAATAACACTAGTAAAATTACATCTTGAGCATAAACTAACAACTTCAAACACAACAGACAAAACATTGTACACATAACAATATTTAAAAGAGTAAAAAAGAAAAAGTGCGCTGTGTCTAAATCTTTAAAGTGAAAAAAATGTAATACTTATTTTGTACAAAATCACAATAGTGTGCAACAATCAAAGTGCAATTAATAATCTAATAGAGTCAGTGACAAATTTATAAAAGATAATTATTCTATTACTTTAAAAAATATTATATCTAAAAAGAAAAGCATGTATTAGGAATAAATGTATTTCACATAGGAATATGAAAAAAGGGTCTGCTAGAATGTATAAACCTTAAAACATTCATATAAAATACCATTTGGAATACCTTTCTACTAACAGAGAGATGAAAATAGAAAACTTATTAAAATCATTATGCATAAAAAAAATCATAAATATGCAAAAAAAATACAAAATATCATAAACCATACAAAATTCATAAAAAATTATATGAATCAAAGTCAATATTAAGACCAAAAGGTTCAAGGGTATTCAGTCTTTGTACCCATCTCATCTCTCTTTTTTTTTTTTTTTAAACTATATCTATGAGATGGTTACCCCCTCGCCAAATGTTTTTAACTATTTTAATGCCTAAAAAAATTAGACCTCTAGGATCCTGATAATGGCAATTTTAAAAATGTGCTAAGACTCTATGTTGGTCATAACCCTTTTTAATATTGTTTACATGCTCATATATCCTTTTATACAGTGGGCGGATTGTCCTGCTGACATATTGTAGCCAACA